ATCTTCTGATAAATTGTACAATGTATCACTTCTATTTGAAGCCTCTTAGTATCCTATATAATTTAGTTGAAGCCTTGAAATCCCTAAAGTAGGTCAATTTGACCTACATTTTGGTTAGAATACTCTGATAACCCAAGATTCCTAATCTGACTAAGTTCGATGATTCTAAACCTTTTATTATCTTAATAATACTTCAAGGACCCAAAATGCATAAACTGACAAAGGCTGACGATTCTAGGCCAATTAGTGTTTAAGTATTTGAATATATCCATAAAATTCTAAAAGTAGGTCACAGAGACCACTTTAAAGGATGAATCGTTTAAACGTCCAATTTTGCCCCCCCCCCCCATAATTTACAAAAAAATTAAAGATTTTCTAAACATTTTTGCCTCAATCTTTCCATCAAACATTGTAGTTTATTAATTTCAATTTCATTTTTTACTTCCTTGCGCTGTAATTAGGTATTTATGTGATTAATATAGCAGGGGTATGTTGTTTACATCGATTTCTCATAGACTTTAGCCCGCGTGGCGCAGTGGTTAGAGCGTCTGCTCTAGAGTCGCGAAGTAAGGAGTTGATCCTTACGTCGCGGGTTCGAATCCCACTGCGGGACGTGGAGACCGGTCCTTCGGATGAGACCGTATAAACCGAGGTCCCGTGTCGCAGAAGGTGCTGGCACGAAAAAGATCCCTCACTGCTCAATGGCCGTAAGTGCCGAGTATAGGACAAAATTTGCAGCTCTCCACCGGCAAGTGGTGGCGTCTCCATATGAGTGAAAAATTTTCGAGAGGGACGTTAAACAACATACAAACAAACAAACATAGACTGTAGGCCACACCCCCGTTTTGCAAGCCCATTTTTTATATGAGCGCATGGATGTTTCAAGTTGTTGTAAATACGGTCAATGTAAAGAGTTACACTAGTCATTTACATTCATGAAAGAAATTGAAACAGTCTTGCGCTCATTTGTTATTTTCCTAAAAGGTGCAAAATCACTGGTGCTTGTCTCCATAGTAAAGGCACCTTATTTACAAATTTCAACCCGTCTTTGACCTCATGAAAAACAAAGCACTGAACACGTGACTCAAATCTATTCACTTCCACGCTTTGAGCACATCTAAGCGACATTGTGTCTAGTGTCTGCGACCTATCGATGGTCAAATCATTTTTCAAATGGGTAATTAAAATTCTGGGAGAAAACTTTTTTATGATTAAGTTGAGTTAATATTTTCAGTCGATTTTGTTTGATTTTTTTTTTTTTTGGGGGGGGGGGGGGTTATATATCAATTTATATTGCAGTCCTGTAGCATATAGCTTGCACTTACTGCTTGTGTCTCATAAATACAGGCTTGGAGGATATAAAACTCTTTTTGAGTACGCACTCCGTGCTCAAACTCATACTCCGTACTCCAAAACCATACTCATGCTCCAAAATTCCACTCTAAGTTGTATATAAATTTTGAGTATGTTTATGGTATCGGAGAATGGAATATGAGTTTGAGAACGGAGTATGTACTCAAAAAATTTTATAACCTCCAGGCCAGAATTTTAAAATTTAAATTACTGTGGGTATATATTATACATTTGCCCTTGTTCCTAAATATACATCGGTGCTCCGTTCATTGCCTTGGAAGATATGAAAGATTTTTTTCAGTTAAAACTGTCATTAATTTTAAAGTCCGTTATTTGAAAAACACCAATTCATCATATCTTTAGAAAAATAAATTTTTGTTACAAGTGCACAAATGCATACTTCCAATAGAAGAAACCTTCAGGGAAAGAAATTGAAGTACGGAGCGCTCAAAAAACCTGTGTATCGGATGAAAAGTCACTGGATGAATACATTTGCACAAAAAGCACCCCTAATTTGAATAGAAGGAAGCTTCAGGTTTCTTCTGAAGCAAATGCTATAACTTTTTACATCGGCACCACAAAATTTTACAATTTTTTTTTTTTTTTTTTTTTTTTTTTTTTTTTTTTTTTAGTTCATGTAAAAGAAAGTCCATGTTCGCAGGTATTTTTAAAGCATAATGTTTAAAAGCAAGAACATGCATTTGTATGACCCTTTCACATGTCCGATCTAGATATTAGTAAAAAAAAAAAAAATCAGTCGAATGAAAAAGGGCGTTAAATACCTCGGAGTGATTTATTACTTATCTTACTACAGGGAGAGAGTTTGTTAAAATCAAAAAATACAGGAGTGGATTACGACAATTAATGAATTCCTAATTGAGGAAGATCATATTAACTTGTCTGGCGTGAATAAACAGGATTTTTTGAAGCAATGCAATTTGGACTGTACAAAGTACACTGACACGGATGTTTCTTTATCCACCAGCGATGATACTGACGTTATACTGACGTTTAATTAACGTTTAAATTTTCACTGTCTTAACTATCTATTTTTTATACACCGAGTTTAGTTTTATATCATAATTCAACCGCCTACGTGTATTTGTTGTAGCACTCGGATTTTGCAAAATTATATATATATATGTATGAACAATTTCTAATTATGTACGTAATAAGCTTCAACGGATTAATCATTTCTTTTTCAAAAAAAAGGCTTCTTTAAAGTGTGAAAAATAGTATATCCTTCGTTATACGTTCTGTTTCCAAATTCCATTGTGTATTTAATATATAAATAATTTAACGATTTTCTAGTAATTAAATCATTTCAAATATGACTCGTAAGTTAAGCAGAAAAGAAATCAAAGTTAAGCCAGCCAAATTAAAAATGTATGCTTATATTTTGTCGGTCTCTAGCATGAAAAAGACTTTTTAGGTGTCAGTTAATCATAAAACTTAGTACACTTCGAACGCATGCTAATGTATTCATACTAATCGCACGCTTGAGAGACGCTCCGCCTTCTCATTCAAATAATACAATGACCTACCTAGCTGTAATGGCGAAACCGGGATTTTACAGTGAAGTATACGATTTTATTTAATCGATATAATGTATATATTGAAAGTCTCTTTCCCCAAAAAATCTTTTATGAGTATCTCTACAGACTATGCTTGAAGACTTAAGCTAAAATATAACAATGTTCTGATTTGAAAAGGTAAAATTCTGCATTTAAAAGGGGCGAGAAAGCAGTGTTATGAGGATTCATTCTTTGACACACTTAGTCTGAGGACCAAAGATACATCAACTGACAAAGTTTGATGATTCTTAGCCAATTAATACCTGAAATATTTAAATACAGCCATAAAATTTCAAAAGTAGGCCACAGTGACCTACTTTTCAGTTCACATTCTCATAAGACCCATGATGCATCAACTGACAAAGTTTGATGATAATAGGTCCTGAAGTGTCCAAAATATGCCTCTGAAACTATTTGAAAACCAATGTCTGCAAAATTCAAAAAGTGGGTCACTGTGACCTACTTTTTAATAAATGTGTTTTAAGGTTCCAAGATGCATCAACTTACAAGGTTTGGCGATTCTAATCCTCACAGTACCTTAAATAATGACCTTAAATGTTTTGGAAAATTCAAAAAAGGAGGTAAAGGTGACCTACTTTTCAGTTGACGTTCTACTAGGACCCAAGATGCATCAACTGACAAAGTTTGATGATCAATTTGAAAACGAATGCCTGCAAAATTTAAAAAGGAGGTCACTGACCTACTTTTGAGTCAACATGATATGAGGTCCTAAGGTGCATCAATATTGACAAGATTTCACTATCCTAATCCTTATAGTTAGCAAAATATCAAAGTTTATCAAACAAAACATAATTTTTGGTCAACTTTGAAGTGACCTCGAGACCGCACCCTTTGCCCCAGGGTGATGCCTTGAGCAACTTTTAATCTACAACATATCCTATTCTTGTATGTAAATTTGGTGATAATCTGCCCAATGGTTCTTGAGAAGATTTTTTAGCTTTTGGTTTTATTTTCCAAGTTATCTCCTCTTGTTTAAGGTCACATTCCTTGTTTTAGTTTAAATGAGAGCCCTTCAGTCAAGGACACTCTGACAAATTTGACAAAAATCGGCCAAGGGGTTCTTGAGATATAGCCCATATTCTAAAGTTTACACACAAACCACAAATGCCCGTAGCATTAGCTCTTTGAGCCTTTGTGCTCAACACAAGAAGCAGAGGGGATTATTAAATATAAATAATGCATTTTCACTGTTTTATAAAACCCCACCCTTACATCAGAATATCTTACCCAGGGGGCATGAAACTCACAATTCTGGATAGAAGCACTCTTGCTCATCATAACTATACACTTGCTTTCTTTGCTTTATAACCAGGAGCAAAATAAACTATTTTCAAAGAAATCATGCTTTTTCACTATATAATCAATAGAGCCCCCATCTCCTTCACCAGAACCCCCGACCCTGGGGCCATGAATTTCAAAATTTAGGAAGAGGCATCTTTGCTTATCATAACCATGCACTTAGTTTGTTTAAACAATACCCAGGAGCAGAGAAGAAGATTTTCAGAATTAATGCATTTTTACTATACAATCAATAGAGCCCCACCTTAACACTAGAACCCCTGAGCCAGGGGAAATTAAATTCACAATTTTGGAAGAGGCAAAGGTAAAGGGCTCATAGTATGTTATAATCACGAAAACAATTTGAATGCTTGATGTTTAGGAGTAGAGAAGATTTTTGAAAATTGCATTAATTTTAATGGTTTTGGTCCCCTCAGGCCCAATGGGGGCGGGGATCATGAAATTCACAATTTTTGTCCCCCTTTGTCCAAAGATGAATTTGATGAAATTGGTTCAACGGTTCCAGAGAAGAATTTGAAAATGTTCAAAAGTTTCAACCAACGAACGGCAACGGACAAAAACAGATTGCAAAAGGTCACCTGAGTGACTCAGGTGACCTAACAAATGTCTGCATGGAAAAAGAATAGAGTGAAAACATTAATTTATTTGGAGTGTTCATAATTTTGTGAAAAGATACATGAAACATAGATCAGACTGAGCATGTACATGTATATTCAATATTAAAATTAAAATATGTGAAAAAATTGTTAGCACTTTAGTAAAATGTTTATGCTCATTCATTCCCCAAATAAATTTTCAAATACTGACCAAATATGAATCATATATATTATATGGCCTTAAACATGTATAATTTAAAAAATGGACAGACATACAAGGCCCCACATTATTTTCATTTTTATAATCTAGACCTTTTGAATTTGAGCAACTGACATTAATAAAGATACACACCACAAACAAATTTTCTTATCTTCCACACAGAAGAGTTACACTGGTATTTTTTCAATATTTCTTTCAATGGAAATGTAATTAATAAATTTTAATTTAGTAGAATGTAAAAATAGACTCTTGAAAATGTCCCCAGAAACTTTGAAGCAAGAAAACTGAATACATTTTATAAACTTATCAAAAAAACATATTGAACTGTAAAGTTGCATTTTTGCACTTTTTGCCAAATAATGTACCTTGGCCAAACATTAAGTTGTTTAACTATACAAATATTAATTCCAAAGTGAGAAAGGCACCTAATTTAGCAAAGATATCTGAATTTTGGGGAAAAAAAGTTTGTGTTATTTATCCTTAATTAACAATCTATAATTGTTTCTTTGCATTTGTCTTCAGAATACAGTCTGTATGTTTAAATAATTTTTTTGTCCAAAACAAAAGAGTTTATTGTTTGGATGTAAAACTTAAAGATCAATCTTGACTGAGAATAAAATCTACATTTGTCAACCTATTATACAAAGTGAAAATATTCCAATTAACTTAACAAATACCAAAGTAAATGTGCTTCATTCAAACTCATATCAACTGTCTTGATCCTTTGACCATTCAAGTAAATAACAAGATTTTATGCATAAAAATATGTTGTTGCATCAGAATGTCATCCAAACAAACTTGATCTTTGACAAAGTTATTCTAAAATATATAAAATGAGTTTTGCCAAAGCAATCTCTTTCCATATTATTCAAGTGAATTCTATGGGTTATATGTCCTTATTGCAATGCACCAAGCACACAACATCCACAGGAAATGAACTCAGTGGCACAGCTAAGCATCCGGGCTTCCACATCAATCCTGAAAAAAAACCCAATCATCTACATACATGTATCATCTTTAGTCTAACTGGCATTTTGATTTCAACTGAAGGATTTACATATTAATGTATCAGCTTGTATGTCACCTATAGTAACTATTGATAACCTTTCATACAATATGTACAAGTAATTAATGAAAAAATACAAGTTATAAATCATGCATGGATCCAGGGGGAGTCTAGAACACCCTCCCCCCCGGAGTGTTCAAAATTACCAACTTTGTATAGTTAGGTAGTCAATTTTTTTGAAAGGCATTTTTAGTAGGTGTGCCTCCCCTGGAAAAAAATTTGTGGGTCCATGCACAATGCATGACTATAAAAGGAGCAATTAAATTATCCACAGAATAAATGCCATTGTTATCTCCAGTTTGCTACTTTACAGCTGATTTTATGTCATACTCTTGAAGCCTTCATATTCTCTAACCAAATATCCTGTGTTTTATTCCTAAAAATATTGCTTTTAGATGTAAAAGTTTGATTGCAGTTAACACATATACTTATTACATAACAAAGGTCAAAGTAAAAAAAAGGGGCTCATTGGCCACAACACCCACCTGCATATTTGTGGCCCTTCATGTTCATCAGCAGATTCTTTTTTTAGATATAATCCCAAGTAAAATCTAAATTGATCACTAACTGCAGTGCAAGCCTATTCCCGGAGGTTATGATTTGAACAAACTTGAATCTACACTATCTGTGTATCATGACCCCCAGGGGTAGGATGGGGCCACAATGGGGGATAAAAGTTTTACTTAGAAATCTATAGGAAAATATCTTTAAAAATTTCTTCGTAAGAACAAAAAAGCCATGATAGGTCATATTTATATGGAAGCATCATCAGGTAGTGTAAATTCAAGTTTGTTCAAATCATAACCCCCTGAGGGTAGGGTGGGGCCACAATGGGGGGTCAAAGTTTTGCATAGGAATATATAGGAAAAAAATCTTTTTCTCAAGAACAGAAAAGCCATGATTAGTCATATTGATATGGAGGCATCCTCAGGTAGTGTAGAATCAAATTTGTTCAAATGAAGGCTCCCGGGGTTAGGGTGGGGCCACAATGGGAGATCAAATTTGTACAAATGAATATGTAGGAAGAAATCTTGTGCTCAAGAACAGCAAAGCTATATGTTATATTGATACAGAAGCATCATCAAGCCCCCCCCCCCCCCTTATAAATTACTGATTTTTGCTTTTTTTCCCTAGCTTATGTGCTCAGGTGAGTGATGTGGCCCATGGGCCTCTTGTTTGATCAAACTTTAATTTACTTCACCCAGTCACACTCTGTACCAAATTTAATTTAAATTGGTCCAGTGATTGTTGGGAATGGGATGAATTTGTATAAAAGTTATTGATGACAACGACAGACCATGGAAAAATTTTGATCCGAAAAGTTCACTTGAGCCATTGGCTCAGGTGAGTTAATAATGGCTGAGTTGTGAATCGCTGTGTTTTGCTTGTATGTCTCTGGTCTTAGTCTTTAGTTGTTTTGTAAAACAGGCCCCTTATACCTAAATCTAAAAGAGATGTTTGTGAAACACTTATGCCCCCCCCCCCTCGGACATACATTATGCTACGGGGTGCAAAAGCCTTTATTATGGGCAGTATACGTTATGGGCAGTGTACATTGAAATGAAATTGACCTTTTGAACTTAAAATCAATAGGGGTCATCTACCGGTACTATCTGAGATGCATCAACCAATCTTCTACATCACACCTTTGGCAAAAACATGTTTCTCATGATATATCAGTAATTTATTTGTACAACCTTTGCAGAGATAATGAACAGAAAGCTAAGTCCAAGGGGTATAACTCTGTCAAAAATTGCTCGATCATACCCAAAACAGAGATTGACCTAGATATTCTTATGATAAATCTATATGGCAAATTTCATTTCAGTATGTCCAACCTCTGCGAAGAAAATGAATAGAAACTGCACATACTTGGAACTTTTCTAAGTTCGAGGGGCATAACTCTGTCAACAATTGCTCGATCGTACCCAAAACAGAACCTGACCTAGATATTCATATGATAAATCTGTATACCAAATTTCATTTCAGTATGTGCAACCTCTGCGAAGAAAATGAATGGAAACTGTTGGTGGACCGACAGACAGACAGATTGACTGACCGACCAGAAGACAGCAGCAAAGCAATATGCCCTCCCTTCTTCAAAGAGGGGCATGATAAATGTACAAACTTTTGAACTTGAAATTGGTAAACTATACCTGTTTAGCTCTTTTATGGGTGTCCTATCAAGACTGCCCTCTTCTGGATTCAGTTGTTGGTACAAATTAGGTTTTAACCAATATTTGGAGTTGACCTTGACCTAAATGGTGCTTTTTGATCTTCGAATAAGAAGAAACAATACATGATAAGCAATATAAATAAAAACTTCTGTGATTATCATCTTGTAACTTCATATGTAAATTAAAAAATTATGAAATTCAATGCAAGTTGTTAACTTCATTACAAACATTATTTGTTATATCTGCTAAGTTCCACAATGTGATTTAAAGCCAAGGACAATGAAAATCAATTCGCTGTAAGCATCAATTCATTGTAAGCATGTTCACATTAACTGTGTTTTACTGTACTGACCTTTGGACTTGAAACTGGTGCTTTAATTCATCATCTTTTATCTTGCAAATCCAATACACAGAGTAGTTTCTTTCAAGCTGACATCAGTCTTGGCCTTTGGTCTTTGACCTTGACATTGGAAAACATATATATCTGTATAAGTAATTCCATTATGTATGATTGCTGGTTTCCTTTTTGTTAAAACAAATAGAAAGTGGATATAGACAATTATAAATTTGAAATGCTTGTAAATGAAGTGTACCACTTTCAGCTGCACATTCCTAATTCTGCAAAATGGTTATCCATACTCATAACCCCCAGTCAGCATGCGTCAATCTAAAATACTATTAATAATTAATACATTTGTAATATACATGCATAAGTCATATATATGTGTATCTGCAAATAATATAAAAGGATACATGTACATGTATATTTAAATTTTCAAGAAACTATATTTTTTTCAATACAAGAAGTTGCAAAAACATTGTTTGCTACTATAATTATTTTTTTAATTAATAGGAATACATGTATTAAAAGCATCTTTTCATAAAAAGACATAATTATAAAATTCAAGATTAATGTATTTGCCCAAAATTACATGAAGTAAAGGAAAACCTACCTACATATCTATCACCAGTCTTGGACAGTTTAATATGTTGATGGTTCAGTACACACAAATCACTAGCTGTTACTTGGTACTAAAAAGAAAAAAAAATGTATATATTAAATGATATGTTTAAATTTTAAATTGCAAAATATAATGCAGTAAGTGTTGTAATTTATCCGTATATAACAGGATGAAGCCCCCTTCCAATTTAGCCCCAAAGTTCTATATATTTGAATGAGAGTAAGCAAATTTCTTTGGAATGTATTGTAAAACAACTTGATTCTAAATGCAACTAAAATACCATATTTCTTTATGTTCGTAACTGCATAAAAAAATTAAAGAGCCGTTTATTTCAATTGTGTAACAAACGTGTCGATAGACAAATTCGAATTTCCTCGATGAAATCTGCTGAATGTCTTAGATTGTTGGAATATGCTGTTCATACGATTTATTCCAAATAACCATTGCGTAAAATAAATATTTAGAACAGCAAACTAAGCTATTCATAAAGATTTATAATGAAAAACCACTGAACTTACCTTACTTGCCAGCTGAGATGAACGGGAAGGCTGGAAACCCAATACACATTTTAGCGGTTTTTCAGTGTTAGGGAAGCGCTTACATATTATCATACAAAAGCGAATCATGACTGTGTTTGGAAGTCATACATCCTGGCGCAATGCAATCATGACTTCAAATCTTGACTGCGTTTGAAGAAATACATCATGACTTGTCCAGGATTGACGCTTGAATAAATCATGACTGCGTTTGGAAGTCATACATCCTGGCGCAAGGCCAGGATTGACGCTTGAAGAAATCTTGGCTGCGTTTGAAGAAATACATCCTGACTTGGCCAGGATTGACGCTTGAAGAAATCTTGGCTGCGTTTGGAAGTAATATATCCTGGCGCAATGCAATCCTGGCCGACCAAGATAGGATGGGCATATGTTGTCAATTCTGACTTGGTCAACATTGAATCATGACCCGGCCAAGATAGGATGACCATGTTATCAATCCTGACTTGGTCAAGATTAAATCATGACCTGGTCAAGATAGGGTGGTCATGTTATCTTGACTTGGCCAGGATGGGATGGTCATGTTATCAATCCTGACTTGGTCAAGATAGCATGGCCATGTTATAAATCTTGACTTGGCCAAGATAGGATGGCCATGTTATATGATGACCGGCCAAGATAGGATGGCCATGTTATCAATCCTGACTTGGCCAAGATAGCATGGCCATGTTATATGATGACCGGCCAAGATAGGATGGCCATGTTATCAATCCTGACTTGGCCAAGATAGCATGGCCATGTTATAAATCTTGACTTGGCCAAGATAGGATGGCCATGTTGTATGATGACCGCGGCCAAGATAGGATGGCCATGTTATAAATCTTGACTTGGCCAAGATAAGTTGGTCATGTTATCAATCCTGACTTGGTTAAGATGATGAAAATCATGGCTTGGTCATGTTTGAAATCTTGACATGGTCATGATTACCACCCTGACCGGCCAGGATTGATTTACAATGAAATATATAGAACATGACATGGGGGTCCCCTATGGCTTTCCATACATTTCGGCTTTGAGTAATTTCAGTACTTTGATTTATGTTATTGTGGTGCCCGAGATTCTCCTTTTATCTGACAATTTAATTTTCCCTCTTTGGCTACTGGCTCGTTCTCAGGTTATGGGAATGACCGTTTTACCCAACGTGTATAAATGCAATAGAAGAGACACAAATCGTCTCGACCACTCTTTATTGATTTTTAACAATCCATCATTATAATTAACAAATACACACAATATAATAAACATTGAAAGAAACATTATCATAAATATCATAAAAAATCACTAGCCTTTAAATGAAATGAGCAATCTGAAACTGTTAACCTTTATACCTAAAAAATGCGCAAGTATGCAAATTATCTTACCGGTATAAATTCAATAGAGAAGAGACAACTCGTCTCTACCACTATAATGATGTAACTTTCTCTAGCGCATTCATACTGATACGCTCCAGATGAGCTTCCACATTCCCTACCATGTTCGCTATCAAAATTTGCAATTATAACCTTAAATTTGTTATTTGAATTTAAACACATAAATGTGCCATTCAATCCTCTTTACTTTTTAACTGCACTTTAGAATTCATGTTAAAATTTTAGCATAGTCTTTAGTTTTTTATTCCCTGTGGATAACTTATACACATGATTGACCTTTCGCGACTTGGTTGTCTATTCATCATGACAAAAAGGATTATCATCTCGAGGAATATACGAGGACCTTCCTGACCAGAGCGGCTTACAGGTGTTGGGGAGTGAAGATGTTACCTGTATAAAATATAACCAGACAGACACAATCTAGCTTACCAGTCTTTATTATTATTAAACAATCTCACAATCTCACAATATTCTAAACATTATGATAAACATTACTGCTTATAATATAAAATATTTTAACCTGTAAATAAAATGGACCATTTAAAAATTTAATAATTTTACAGTTACACGCAAGTCTTCAAAATGATCTTACCTGTATAAAATGCCACCAGAGACAGACACAATCCAGCTTAACACTGAAACAGTGTCTGTCCCTCCGCCTTTTTATCCCTATCCGTACACCCCAAATTTGTTATTCCTTCAGAATTTGCAAAAATGGCTTTGAAGAAGGCCGTTTTGCGGCCTACAATTAACTTCAAATTTACCCTTAAAAACTGCATGAACCAATAGGCTAATGTTCCAATTCAATGAAGTATGTTGATTGGTTAACGATGCAAAGGTATTTGTTATGATAGAGGGTAACAAAATAATGTACTATCGGTACGTGTTAGCATTAGGGTAATGAGAAAACTAAGGAGGGTGTGTGTGTTAGGCAACTCTTACATATGTCATAACCACCTTTAACCAACACCAAAATTTGCATGTAAACGTCTTATAAATATAAGAGCTTACTACCAACTTATGAACAAGGTTAAAGGTGGTTATGGCACGGAAATAAAAAGTTTCTCCTCGTTTTTACGATTTTTGCAGGAAAAGCTAATTACACACAATGAAAGATGTAGATGTAGATTATTTTTCCTATAAACTTTCAGTTTGAGTACTCTTTTCTGTTAATTGACAGGGAATTAGTATAGGCCATGCATTTTTCCTAAAAAAAAAATGTCAACTTTTTACTAAAAATTCAAAATCAAAGACCGGATGTTTTTAAATTACTCTTGAAGAACTGTCTGCTAGAAATGAAGGAAAAAACTTTTTTAAAAACTATATGGCTTGAATGCAAGTTATTTATTATTATTATTATCATTATTATTATAATTACTATTATTATTATTTAAATATAGTTTAGTTTATCTATGCCACTTCTTTGTATTTGTATTTCCTTAGGAGTATTGCATATCTGTACCATGTAACTTTTATAAATAGGGAATTACTGATGGGATGGTTTCATGATGAGAATTTTCGCATCGATCTTTTAGAAGGACACTCAAATTTCTTCCATATGTGTGACATAGGACCCATGTATTTTGTTAACTGGGTGATGAGAGGACTCAATCAAAACGGATTTCAGAATACATAGCTACATGTACATGTATATTTGTAGCACCATTATATGCTACGAGAACAACAGTTCTGTCTTAGAAAATTAAAACTAAGGGTAACCAGTTATTTAATGATGTTTTACGCCATTTTAGAAATTTTCACCAAGATAAAGAGATCATCCGCTTAAGGTGAAATGTCACAGTTTTGCATGGTGTTTCATTATGACCAACGTCTACCGTGGAACGGGACCTCATTTTGTAAGGTAATACCCCCAAAGCCCATGACTTTTCCTTTTAAAGCTAAGAACTTGGCAAAGGAACAGTCACTATACTCGTTTTAAACACCCTAGTTTTTGACGCTGCACTGGAAAAGAGAATTTAACCCGTGGGTTTCAAAAGTGTGAAGAGAGTCACAACCTTAGGGCCCAGTTGTACCTAGGATTATGTAGGGATATTGTAGAACTCTACTTGTCCATGGATATACTAAAACTTCTTATATGCGTAGTGAAAGGAACTGTATATAATCTTTCCCGTTTTTATGAAGTGCCGTTAGAAAAGTTTGAGGGGGTGGGGAGATGAACTTGAATTTTATAAATACATGTGTGTATTATACTTAAAATAGCTTTTTTTAATTAGTTATATTGTTTTACGATTGTATTTAAATGAAATCAAAGCAATTCTCACTATGTTATTCCATTTTACTTAGATGCATAAGTTTTTAATACAACCGTTCTGAATTTTATGTACTGACAATTCATATGAAAACAAACATGCACTTGCATTAATATTTTCATCCGGTACATTAATGGATTCTTTATTTTTGCAAATCTAAAATTTCTTTTATTTATTACAAGTATTTACAACTTAATTTTTATTTAATCAAGAACAAAATCCATGCACAGCTTTTAACATTTGAAACACAACTTTTATAGTTCAATACAAACTTCAAAACCTCATTTCCTACAAGGGCATATTATGCGTAATATATGTATCACATCTATAGAAACAATACACAATTACATTATAAACATATTTAAGATAATACTTTAAACTGAATGCTAATTAAACACTTTTCAACATCATACGGTGTGCATTTTGTAAAGACTTATAGTATTCAAAATACACATATGTATGCAAAATGTGAATGCATCAAAGTCC